GGACGACGCCACCGCACTTTGAGAACGACGCGACCCGGACTTGCCACATCGACCCGGCATCTGGTCTGCCATGGAGACCAAGTACCCACTGCCCACAAAACCCGCTGATCCTACACCCCCCGCCGACACGCCGACGCAGTCAGCCACCCCAATTGATCAGCCAGCCTGCGTGGACGCCAATGACGCCGTCAAAGAAGACCTGTCTCGTTGGACAACTCGAGGCATCGCCATTTGGCTGGGTGGCAGCGCGACTAGCGTTAACGAGCTACTATACAAGCTTCGCGAAACAGTTTGCGGCGGTACATGCAAGGCTCCGGACGGTGTGGACAGTAAGTATGCGGCAGTCTACCAGAGCAACGGCGCATGCGAAGTGTCCATCGCTGTGTCGTCCGAGATCGAGGTGTACGTCAACCGTGACACGTGGCCGGACAATAACAACGATTTCAACACAATCTGGCAGCAGTGCTGGGATAGCACCGAGAACATCATCGACAAGTGCGTTGACAATCGGGCCAAGTCGGGCTGGTGGAACGGCGACCACGTCTACCAGTTCTACCAAGCCGGCGTTCGGCAGCTCAATGACCCTGAGGCGCACCACACGAAGAACAACATCAAAATCGGTTCGTACCTGATGCCGCCGACAGACGGATTGTCTTGCGGGAAAGACTGCCATGGATTCATCCCAAACCCGCAATGGTGCCGAGACAACTGTGGCGCCAGGCTCTTTGCTCGGGGTCGTCGCTGGGCTTCGAGCTCAAATAATCCTGGTTCGGCGCCGTTGCTGTTTGCGCGGGCTACGGAGACAGTGAACACTGTCGGGGGCTGCAACCTAAGATATGTCTTGCCGGACTACCCTAGCTCTGGAACGGCGGAGAACAATGCGGCAGTCCAAAAGTTCTATGACAGAGACGATACAAATCACGGGAACGGTAACAACTGCGATAATCCAGTGTTGACCGGGCCCGTTGCTAAAGTCAATGGCCACAGCTATGACAGTAGGTTTTGCACACTACATGGTTGGAACGCGAAGTCATGCTAACATGAACCCAGCTGAGCATGTATACGAGAAACACATCATCAAGCGCTTCCTATTTTACCTAGTTGGCGGACAGCAAGCCTTTGACGACAGTATTGACCCCAATGGTGCCGACCCCGTTGCTACGTGTCCCGATGTCGAGGCCGTCTTTAACCAGCTGAACGCCCAAGGAACGCACTTTACGACCGAAACGGCCGCGCAACAGCTGGGGCGGGCTGTGTCGTGTAGTGGGCCGCAGTGCCCTGACAACAACCGAGTTTCGGAACTGTTCCTGCTTCGTAAGGAGGTCAACGGCATCAAGAACCGGATCTTCACTGGCCACTATACCGGTATCGGGCGAGATCCCAATGACAATAAGCTGCCCAGCTGCAACCCTATTCACAAGACGTACGTGGAAATGCAGCAGCAGATGATCAATGCGGCCATGGTCTTCCAGTACATGAACAAGCAGGAAACGTTCGACGCATTTAATGCCGTCCACCTGCGGATCCGCCAAATTCTGTAAGTCTTGCGCTACCAACATTGCGAACAATTAGCCACGCGGTTGTTCACTAATACGCTTTTCTCTTTAGCACCAACCTCGACGCGGACGCACTCGGAACCAACACGCCGCCTCGGAACTTGGCCCCTTACATCAGAGAAGGGGTAACACCTACGTGGCTCGCGGCGTATGACGAGTTTATGAACCGTTTCCTCGTTGATACAGAGCGTAAGATGGGGCTCTGGCAGCGCGAATGCCGGGACGGGTATGACGCTGCAGTACTCGCATCAAATCTTCAACCGGCACAAAAAGATGCAGTCAGGGACAAGGTTAGGAACTACGCGAGTGGAAATGGCGTTTACGCAGATGCTGCTTTGACGTTGTCGGGTCTTTGGGATCCCGTAAAGGGGAATTAGGAGGCGTTGGAGAGTTGCTTGGCCTGGGTTATCATGTACCGTATAGTATTGCAAAGCCTCGCGGGTATATATGTTTATATCAATGAGTCCAAGAGTTCTATATGTCTCTCGCGCGCCCCCACTTGGTCGTCTAATTCGATTGAACTTGGTAACGAACTATGAGGTGTGCAATAAATAGTCCCCTAAAGATAGGCCAAGATACTAGAAGTAGAGTTGAATTCAGAGGCATTAGGTCGGTAGAACGTGCCGTCCCCAGTGGTTCACGGAACTCGGCAATGCGCGCCATCCGTAAATTACAATATTTCTCAAACGTGGGATTACTTGACATGCAGCAGTCGAATCGGCCGACTCGCCCCAGCCTCCCCTAATTCACAAGGTTTACTGGCGGATGCTTAGTAGTCCGGTTGGACGTGTTCACAGCCAAAATGGTTGTCATTCGGGCTCAAAAGAGCCAGGATACATGCCGAGCTCCCTGAGTCGACGCGATAGTGTGCAGGAGCTCACCTGGCAGGCTTCCGACTCCCCATCTCTCGTCACTTTCTGCTCTCGGCGACCAGCACTAGCATAGATCAAGCTTCGTCGACAGATTCCGCGTGAATTGGAGATGGTTTTCCAAACCAGCGTTCATGGGACAGTCGACTTACAGTACCCCGGCCCATATGCTGTCATTGACGCAAACAAGCCAGAAGAGTTGAGTAGCAAGTGCCACCAAAGAGGCTGGATTAATCCAAAGGTTTCACTGGGTAGGGCGGTTTGTGGACAGGCTTGATCGGTTTTTGTACGTATGCGCCTACATTAGAATCACAGCCGACTATGTTGGCACGGGCTTACAGCAGATCTCGAAAACATTCAGTCAGTTTTTCCTGACGCATTTGGAAATAGGAGCACTCCAAGCTGCAGATGCTGTCGTGATGAACCGCAGAGAACAGGGACGCTGTGGTGTAGTGAGCGGCAGTGCGGGTGGTGGCAGTATTGGTCACAGATACTTCGTAAGTGCTCCAGATCGGCTACCATGCATTGTTAGGAGAAAACTGCTCACACCAGCAAGCCCGCCGGCCACGACCGTGATGCCATGGCTGAGTCTCGAACAATTGTCGGTGCCATTGAGTATCACTGAAAGAGCTTGGATTATAGCAAGCTATGCCGCACCAAATGCATGGATCTTACGGAGAGCGGCGCACGGAATGAATATCTTCTCATCGGCCCCGCGGAACGGTTTGAGGGCAACATGTACCGTGGCCTCAAATTTACGTTCAACAGTTGCAGGTTCGTTAAAAAGGAGACGGAAGTGTAAAATGTGAGCAGATGAGGGCGCAAAGCAAGAGTACGTGGAGCATTGAAGTCAAAGGTCAAGGTGATTGGGTACCATCTTGGTGCTGTGGGAGGATAATCTAGTGGGCTGGTCCCTGAAGCAAAGCAGCCCCGCACTAACCTCTTTGGGAACTTCCCCTCCTCGCAAATGTGATCCAATTTGGGGGGAATCGGTGAGAGCTTCATCTTTTCCTCGGTTTCCTTGTTCTCCCTCGACCAGCCTGGATTGTGACGAAATCACCGGATGAACGTGAATATTGTGCCCCCTTAGTATCCGAGACAGAACGGCAATACATACGACACCCTTCGCCGACCAGACCTTTCCCACGCCCACCCCATTCATACATGCTCCATCATGGCCGACAACCAAGTCTACCGGGGCCAGCACCACAGCTCCTGTTAACATTGCGGTCGTCAAGTCCTGCCCGCCTGTCGAAATTCTTTTCTCCAAGGACATGCTACCAGATCAGATACTGGGGCAAGCGCGATGCCAAGCTCAACCTCCCGACCAACAGCTCCCTTTCTGTTACCCTCGCCCAGTCCGACCTCCGAACCCTGACGACGGCCTCGACATCCGCCTCGTACCCCGAGGGCGACAGCCTTATCCTCAATGGCGAGCCATCCGATATCACGGGCGCCCGCACTCAAGCCTGCTTCCGCGAGCTGCGCGCCCGCCGCGCTGCCCTCGAGGCTAGCGACAGCTCCCTGCCCAAGCTCGCCGCCCTGCCCCTCCGCGTCGTCTCCGAGAACAACTTCCCCACAGCCGCGGGCCTCGCCTCTTCCGCTGCTGGCTTTGCCGCCCTCGTCCGCGCCATTGCCGACCTCTACCAGCTCCCCGATACCCCGGACCAGCTCTCGCTCGTTGCCCGCCAGGGCTCCGGCTCGGCCTGCCGCAGTCTCTTCGGCGGCTACGTCGCCTGGCGCATGGGTTCCGCCGCCGACGGCTCCGACTCCAAGGCAGACCTCGTCGCCGAGGCTTCCCACTGGCCTGATATGCGCGCCCTGATCCTCGTCGTCAGCGCCGCCAAGAAGGGCGTGTCGTCGTCCTCGGGCATGCAGCAGACCGTCGCCACCTCGGGCCTTTTCCAGCAGCGCATCCAGACTGTCGTCCCCGCCAACATGGACCTCATGGAGCAGGCCATCCGCGATCGCGACTTTGCCAAGTTCGCCGAGGTCACCATGCGCGATTCGAACTCGTTTCACTCGACCTGCGCCGATACCTACCCGCCCATCTTCTACATGAACGACGTGTCGCGAGCCGCCATTCGCGCAGTTGAGGCGATCAACGCCGCTGCTGGCCGAACTGTTGCGGCGTACACCTTTGATGCTGGCCCGAACGCCGTCATTTACTATCAGGAGGCCGACGAGGCCACTGTTGTGGGCGCGTTCACTGCCGTGCTTGATGGCGTTGGTGGTTTCAAGGAGAGGGCACAGGGACTGAAGTCTGAGGCTAAACTGGATGAGGTCTTGGCCGGCATTCTCAAGGGTGGTGTGAGCCGCGTCATCATGACCGGTGTTGGCGAAGGTCCTATCAAGTCGGATGAGTACCTAGTGGGTGAGGATGGCGAGCCTGTCAAGAGGTAAGCTCGGTTCTCGTGGCCATATTTTACGTATTAAGCATATCATGAGGTAGCCAAGCGAATGTCAACTGCTGTTGCAAGTCTGCTGGCAAGTATATACTACAGCATCAAGAGCCCGTGATACTGAATGGAGGCTTGATGTCCCAACCTCTTCGCTGGTAGGAGAAATATGAGTTTTGTATCAGAGGCCTATGATGTTTCAATTCCAAGAATGTCGCATTGCCCTTCGGCTTGGGTCGCAATCACTGGTCAATTGGCAGATACGGCTCACCTGCTGCGTTGTTTGGGCGGAGTGATGTGACTGATGGCGCCATTACGGGACTGGCGGGCGAGGGGACCAAATTATGTCATCGTGGAATGACGACCATGAAGCCCCCCATGTTTTGACTCACCAGATTATCTTCCAACTCACCACCAACAACCTAATCTTGAAGCGACAATATGCCTGCTTCGACGACAGCAAACCCAGAAGCCGAGCGGCCGCTCCTCGCGAACGATGAGCGTGATGCGCCTGCAGCAGCAGCCGGCTACGGCACGAGTACGCCGCCAGCGGAACGCAGCACCTTCACGCGCAACCTCGGTGCCGTCGAGGCCTTCGGCATCGTCGTCAGCATCGTCATCGGCAGCGGTGTCTTCACGTCCCCTGGCGCAATTGACACGAATGTACCCTCTCCTGGCGCCGCATTAGTCACCTGGCTTCTCGGTGGTGTCCTGGCTTGGACCGGTGCTACGACGCTCGCCGAGTTGGGCACCGCGATTCCTGGCGAAGGTGCGTTCCCTCACGTGTATTCAATACACCCTGGGAATGGGTCGTGCTAATTTGAGACAGGTGGCATTCAGCCTTACCTCCAGTACATCTTTGGTGATGTCTTTGGCTTTCTCGCCGCCTGGACATGGATTGTCGCCGTCATGCCTGCAACGCTGGCGATCCTGAGCATCGTTTTTGTTGAGAGCGTCTACTCGTCAGCTGGCATCACTGATGGAGCCGGTCGCATTGAGCATAAGCTGCTGTCGATCCTCGTGCTCCTCGTCATGAGCGGTGCCAACATGATTAGCACCAAGGCTAGCACGCGCCTCAACAACTTCTTCGTCGTGACCAAGTTCCTAAGCATATTCGTCGTAGTCGTCGCGGGCCTTGTGGTCGTTGTCCTCCAGGTCGCTAACCGGGAAAGGAAGGATGTCGGGGGTCGAGACTGGTTCGACAGGCCTTGGTTCGAGCACCGCGAGACAGTCAACCCCGACGGGAGCAGGACGGACTGGGATGCCATTGGGAGCTGGGAGCTGCTGGGACACTACTCGGCTGCGCTGTATGGTGCTCTTTGGGCGTACTCTGGCTGGGACAAGGTGAGTCTGACGCTCGATATCAGAACTTCCGAGACATATACTGACATGTGAAGGCCATTTACGTTTCGGCAGAGCTCAAGTCTCCTGCCAAACAGTTGCCTCTAGCAATCAACTCGGCCATTCCCACTATCATCATCAGTTTCCTCGCGGCGAATACCGCCTACTATATACTTCTCCCATGGGCTGTGGTTTCCACGACGGACAGCGTCGCTGTGGTACGCACTCTTCTTTCTCCGTTGCTCTACCAACAGGCGCTGACATGTTAGACCTCTCTCACACGTCTTCTCGGCCGCGGCTTTGGCATCGCCGCTGCAGCTCTCATCTGCCTCGTTGTAGCTGGCTCCCTTCTCGGCAACTCTTTTGTCGCGAGCCGTATGGCTGTCGCCGCTGCCAACAAGAGCTGGTTCCCGCGCTTGTTCACGTACGTCGGCCGCGTTGGTCTCAAGCCATCGAACAGCACCGAGCCTGCGACGTCCGACGCGCCCATCAATGCGATTATTCTGTCAGCCATTCTGGCGGCTGTGTATATCCTCCTTGGAAACTTCCGAGCGTTGCTCACGTTCAATGGACTTGGCGAGTATACGTTCTTCTTCTTGACCGTGCTGGGAGCCATCATCTTGCGATGGAGAGAGCCTGGGCTGGAGAGGCCGTACAAGCCGTTTGTCGTGGTGCCGGTCATTTTTGCCATTGTCAGTGGATTCGTCGTTGTTAGAGGTGCTGCGTTTGCGCCTGTCCAAGCCGGCGTGCTTGTTGGCGTGTGGGCGCTGGGTCTTGCGTTCTACTGGGTTAAGAAGAGGTGGTTTGATGGCAGGAACGCCTAGGCGCAAGTTCGTCCAGTGATCTGGAAGCGAATTGCGTGTCCACTATTGCTGGGATGTTTGTTAATTCCTAGAAACTGACCATAGACGCGTCCCGATAGAAATTGACATACCAAGGAGTGTGGAACGGTGGGCCTGCATGTAATTGATGGTTTTTGTGCCGCATGAGATGACCTACCACTTTGGTAAGTTTTGGTGGAATGAACCCCTCCCAAAGCAACTGCCCGAAACTCAGCAAAGAGCCACGTTCTCCTCCATTCATACAATTGCACGTGGGCAGGGCCGTTCTGTACGTTGAAACTGCAAAACCCAAAGGGAAGCCTCCTTTACCTCACAGAAGCTGCACGCAGTCAAGATCGTGCATGTTGTGTCGCCTTTTTCACCTTGATCAACTAAGTAAGCACAGTCACATCAAACACGCATCGTGATAGCCCAGCGGAACAAGCAGGCATCTTGGAAGTCGACGCAACGCTCGAAGCCTTCTTCAGAAATAACGGCAGAGCGACAGCATGGCAGCAAAGCCCAACCTGCGAGATGATTGCAGCCCTTACGAGAAAGAGTCTCAAGGCTCTGATCGCGATCTGTTCCCCAACACAACTGAGAACCTCCTGCACTACGATGCACAAGTAACTTCTTACCGGACCATCGGCACTATTCTGGAGCCTTTGCATCAACTGGTAAGCTTGATGTGAACCGCCGGCAACAGTATTACAACTGATTCGCCGCAGTTCTCCCCAGCCAATGCTGTTCGTCGCGTTGAGAGCCTTGCTCGGGGCACACCTCAGTTCTTACGCGATGCCTTTCTCCCAGTCGATTACCCCGACTCCGTCTCGCCTGACTACATCAAATACCAGATGTACGACTCGTTCCAGGCTTTCTTCTCGACCATCACCGGGATGCTCGCCAACCGCGCCATTCTCGAGGGCCTGGGTGTCGGCGATGCGTCCGGCTCGGTCAACCACGCATTGCTTTTGACATGTCTCAAGGATGGTGTGTCGCGTCTCGCCATGATCACCTTCGCCTACCGATTCGGCTCCGTGATCGAAGCGAATGCCAAGAAGTATCGGTTCCTCGCCGATCTATTCAATGACACGGCTTTCTTTCTGGAGCTGGCCAACCCTTTCTTCTCCGGCTGGGCCAAGATCCTCATCCTCGTCAGTGCCGAATCCCTCCGTGCTCTTTGCGGCATCGCGCTGGCGCAGCAAGCCGCTCTCTCGACCATTCGCCCGACGAAACAACCTTGCTGAGCTCAATACGAAGGAGGCCAGCCAAGAGACAGCCATTGGTCTCATCGGCCTGCTCGCTGGCACCGCAATCATCCACTACGTTCAGAATCGTGGGGCTGTGTTTCTCTTGACGATCATCCTTGTCTTTATTCATCTGGGCATGAACTACCTTGGCGTCTGCGCCTTGCAGCTTGACACCGTCAATCGACAACGAGCTACAATTGTTATACAGCACTATCTCCGAACGCGGGAAGTCTTGACTCCGGCTGAAGCTTCCAAGAAGGAGAACATCATCTTTTGGCGCCCTCATATCGCAGATGAGCACAACAAGACAGTAGCTTACGTTCGCTTCGACAACAACCCAAAGGTCACATTCAATGCGCTGCCCACTAGTCCGAAAAATGCCTTCCGCATACATATCAACCGGCATGCGCGGTGCCCGGATATCCGCATCTTCGTTTGGAATCAACATGCTGACCACATGACGTCGTTCCACGCTTGGTACCTAGCTTTACGGTTTGCTCTATGCTCCCAGGCCAATGAGCACAAGACCCTCCACCAAGACAAGGAGCCCGAAGCTCTTTTCGAACGAATGCGTGCCGTTGGCTGGCGCTTCCCTGAGCAGGGTCTCGAGACGGTTGACTTGAAGTGGGCACCCTTCTCAGTCGTTGCTGAAGCGAAACGTAAAGATTTGTGAAGAATGAGAATACCCGGCGTTTAATTGCTTTTGGAATGGACAGTGTGTCAGGCTGTGGCTTATGAGGAGACGCTGCAGGACTTGCCATTTGCGCTGGGTGGGAAGTAGAGCCCTCATAGCTTTCAACTGCCTAGACCCAGATTTCGTGTGCCGCGATACTCGCGAATGGCTCAGCAGCAGAGCTCCAAGTGCTTGTGGTCTGATTGCACCTGTTTCCATCGATACGGACCCATGCCGAGCATCTCATTGGGTATGTCTATCTATTATACACGTAGCTCTGTTACACACCGTCATCATGTTATACATACATCACTTCACACCATGCCCAGTCCCCGCATGGCACGCATCTTGACGCCCTCCCAGCTGTTCAGCTTTGGCCGCACATCGAGATAGAAGCTTGGCCGCCCCGCAGCATCCTTGCCGCCCGGTCGTCCCGCGTAAAAGTCAATCACGTACTCGACTTCGACGCCGCACCGGTCGACAACCCAGTCGTGCCTGTCGAAGGGCGCCGTGTAGCCGAGCAGCGTATTGATCCGTGCCTTGGGCGACATGCGCTCCGAAAGACCACTGAACGAATGCAGCTTGGGGCCGCCGCACCTACAAAACAAAAGCTTCAGTCAGAAGAGTCCCATAGACCTGGTTCTTTTCCCAACGGCTATTCGGGAAAGATAGCGGCAAGTGAGGTCTGGGGCGGGCGGAACTCACGAAGTGCCCTCGATATAGGGCCTCTCCCACTCCTTGATCTCCTTCCAGGCGCGCTCGTTGACGGCGTTGTGGATCGGCACGACCGTCTTCATGTCGGCGCCCTGCACCTGGTCGTGGCCCTTGCGCTTCATGGCGTCGAAGAACATCTTCTCGGACGGGTAGACCCAGTTGCCCGTCTTGGGGTCCGCGCCCGTGTCGGCCTCGTTGTTCGCTGGTCTCTGCTGCTGCTGGTGGTCCGCAGGCGCAGGACAGGCTGCGTGGCCCGGGTTCGCGGTGCGCGGGATCGTCGAGACGACGCGGTCGGTCGTCAGGGCTGTTGTCGACGGGGCCGGCGGTTGGGGAGTTTGCGACTGGGCGGTGCTCGACGAGGGGCTGGAGCCGGAGCTGGAGAAGGGGATGTAAGAGCGGAGGGTCGAGCCCCAGGACGCAGACGGCGCAGCGGGCTGAGGTGACGGGACCGGGTGGTTCGGTGGGAGGGAGGCGTGAGGATGAGGTGGTGCGGCGTCGGCACCCGCGGCGCGGGCTTGCTGAAGCCAGGCTTCGCGGCTCTTGTGGTCGACGGGGCAGGCATCTGCCGGGTTTGGTTGATCGGGCATTGTGGGCTGTGTGTTGCGAGATCAGTCCTAGGCGTATCTCATCTGGTGATGAGTGGTGTGGAAACTGCGCGGGCGCGTGTACAGGGGCGATGAACGGCGTTGGCGCGATGTCGTGATAGTCCTTGGAGTCTGCATGGGAAATTTCCATGACTGAGGAAAGTTAATGTGGGCCCTCGCCGTCATCAGGCAAGACACGACATTAGTCATTCATCCAACCATCCAACCAACCGGCCCGGTGCGTACACCCACGCGAAAAGATCCCGGGTCCAGCTGGAAGACAGTAACAGGTTTGTGATCAACGTTGGCCTTGACACAACTCATGCTGTTCGTGTCTGTACGCGTCAATTGACAGTGTTCACCGGCATCAAGCCGGCCCGGCTGCTTCGAGAGCACATGGCACACACGAGCAACGGATACTAAGAGATGCGTGTGCATTGGCAAGTAAACTATCGACATGGGCGCGTGCCATAGGGTGTATGGGCCACGGGGATACCCGTCTGTCTCCAGACCGGTCCCCCTCTTCCTGTTCCTTCGCCTCCGTCCGGTTGAATGACGGAGGCGCACCAGCCCTTCTTTCCAGGCTGTCACCGTAAAAAAAAAGAGAGAGCGATGGGTTTTACCCTGCACGCCTCTCTGATTCTGATCCACCACCACATGAGAGACGAGGCCGTGACGTTAAGTCTGCTCAACTCATACGCCTATTGTGGACTCGTAAATCGTTCTCCCATCACCCGTCCATGTCATTCCTCGCCCAATTTTTTGCTGCATCGCTCTTCTGCCTAAGCACCCAACACCGGCTGGTATCATCATGCCATCAGCGTGACTTTTTGTTGATTTTTTTTTAGGGGGATTTTGATTTTCGTTTTTGGTCTGGCGACTTTTCAACCGAGCACAGCTCAGCCGAAAAGGGAAGCGCCTCCCGACTCGACAGCCTCGAGCTCGGCCAGGGGAATGGCCTGGCGGCGGAAGCGGGCGGGAAGCTCGGAGCGGTCAAAGAACTCGCCCTGGGCGGGGCGGACGGAGCCCATCTCGTGGCCAGAGAGGCCGCCGATGCCGGGCTCGCCGTTGCCGGCACGGATGCTCTTCTGGAGAGGGCCGTGCTGCTGGGCGTGCTGGCGGTAGGAGCTGAAGTTGGAGTGCTTGGCGCCGGACGTGAAGCCCTCGGGGAGAGAGCCGGTGGGAGAGGCGGGATGAGGCTGAGGGGAGTGGTCGATGGACGCTGTCGAATGTAAGTGACTGTTCTCGTGCAAGTCGCGGCTGCGATTGCGGCATCACGGGAAACAACGTACAAGGAGTGGTGCGGCGGCCCAGGAAGCGAATGCTGGGGGTGCGCTCGGCGTGCGCAGCAGCCTGGCGGAGGACGCGTGTGGCGGCGAACATTGTGTTGTTGATGCGGTGTGTGTTATTTGGTGGGCGAGAGATGCTCTTATTCGAAAAAGTTGCTGGACCGCGACGTGCCTGCTGATAAAGCTCGACGAGACTGGACGCAACTGAGAGCGGCGGAAAGAGGAATTGAACTCGGTCGAGGGTCGAGTTTTGTTGTCTTTAGTCGTGCCCGAGGCGGCGTAGCTTTACCAGCAGGGTAGTCAGAGGAGGTAAATTTGGTCGGGCGATGAAGGAGGAGAGGAGAGGAAGAGAGCGGGACAGCGGGACGGGGAGGAATCGTCCGATGAAATAAAAGAAAGTTGGCGCCTTGGGGCTTGTCGCAGGGGATCTAGGTAGTTCGAAGGTTTGTGCAGACAGGGGAGGAGCCCGCCACCGGCACCCTTGGGGCCTGGAAGGGGGGGGCCTTGGTTGAGAAGCCGGGTCCGGGGCGGGAAAGTGTCGAGGAAATTTCACAAGCCGTCTGCACAAAAAAAACGGACGCCAAGCGCGCCATAGCGAGTCGGCAAGGGCAGAGCGCTTGTGGGATGCAACCCAGCAAAAGGGCTGCACGCACCAGGGACCATCTTCCCTCCCTTCCCTCCGCCCACGCTGCTGTGGGGACGTGCACAAGGCCGGCTAGGCGAAAAGCAGTAGCCGCAGCCTGTCAATTGGGCCACGGCGTCGAGCGCACTTCCCCGCTGACGTCCGAACTTCGGGGGGGGGAAGGGGGGAGAGAGGGGGGCAGCTGCATTACTGGTTGCTGCATTAATCAGCCTCCCCTGAAGCCTGTCAGGCCCCTGCCCAAACCCGCTGAAGGCTGCTAAAGCCCGCTAAAGCCCGCTGCAAGATCGACCTAGAGTTGTGGATCAGAGATACCGATGACGGGGAACCACTTGCGATGACGGGGAACCACTTGCGGTCTTTTTTCTCATTGCTGTTTCTATTGTTTTCGCGTACAACAAAAACGTACTATCGCCTCGCGGGACCTTGTTGCATCTAAATCACGCCCTGAACACGCCATTTCACCTACTACCCAAACAACCCACTTCCCCTGCCCATGCATCTTGTCTGAGCATGTGGCGACGTGGTGTCAACAACAAGAGGAACACGGAGTACGAGTGAGCACTGGTTTTGCCCTGTTTGTGGCCTGACCCGGCCACACCCGAACCCTCCAACCGCCCCCCTTCCATCCACTGCTGCTGGACCACCAACCACCAGCGACAAATGTCAAGATGTTCTCAGCCAAAAGGTGAGACACTGCAGTCCTCTCAACACCCTCACCGACACATGCATCCCCCGCATTCAACACCCCGAAGCGTCGTTGAGAAGCAATCTGGGGAAGCAACAACTGCAACGCCAATACGAGCGTGCGACCATGAGCACGAGCCGAAGCTGCAAGCACAAGCACAAGCCAAAATGGTGGTGCGATGGTGTGCTGTTCACATGCATCCCCTTCCGCGTCGCTGGGTTTCCAAGCCGTTCCAGTGCGTCCAGGAATCACGCCCTAGACACCCCCAACTGGCCTCCTGCATCCTGCACCTGGGTACCGGGATGCGTGGGTGCCTGTCTGCCTGCCTGCTACGCTTCGGGGATCCATGCCCACGCCAACTGTCACCTCTCAACCGTGTACCATCCGATATTGTGTGGGTGATCTTTTAGGCTTTCAGGCTGCTGGGCTGCCACCACAGCGCGGGGAACCTGGAACTCCGAGGCTTGTCCGTGAGCTTCGGTTCATACTTTCCCTCCTCCTGGCTCTGGTCCCGGCCGAGGGGCGAGGTACAAGGCACGAGGCAACGGCAGATGAATCCCGACGTTCCCGCGCGTGCTTGAGCACATGCCATGCCCGCCTGCCCGACGATGAGAAGATCGCAGCTTCGAATCACGAAGAGGGTTGATGGCGAAAACTTGTCCAACTCCCATCGAGTCCCCTTTCCTTCTACCATTTGCAATCAAAATCCGCCGTCATCATGCCAGTTCTGGGCCCACCTTCCTCCATTGCTGGTCTGGCGCTTGCACACGTTTGACTCGTATGGATTAGGAAGGCGCGTCGACAAGGCATTTATGCGTCGGACACTGCTCCCGTTCTCCACGGCCCTCCAGGATCCACCGAGCTTCTCCTCTCGGACCATGGCGCCATCCGCTCGGGTTGCGATCCCGAGTCGTTTGTCTGCGTAGGGCAGCGCTCCGACCACTAGCTCCTGTGAATGGCGCAATCCGGCCGGCCTACTCCGTTCGACAGACGTCGTCAGTCTTCAGTGTATGTTGGATGATTAAACGTGACCTCCTTGCAATATGAATTTGAGGCCATCGCTGGGGTAAGCGCGTAAGCCAGCCTCTCAACGATTACCGGCTCGTCGCTGTCACTCTGAGCACAAGAATGGTAAGTACTACTGGGTTTTTTTGCGGGCTGGATCCCCAGCTTTTCAGACATGTGTTCGGGAGCACACAGGTCTGACAAGGGCATCATGAAGTACTGACCTACCCCTACACCACGCATTCACGACTACAATTGATACTCCGTTTCAAGGAATTACTTGGGTTTTGTACCCATGATGGCTGATGAGTGCTGAGACGAGCTGGGTCCAGCTCGTTATGTGGGCTTTATTGTCATTCGTCGCGTATCAACTCCAGAAGCCCGACCTGTTCCATCATTTCGCAATGGATACTTCCTCATGAAAATCCTCGGTCGTAACATATCAGGCCAGCCGTCTTCTTCCCGACGATTCTAGTACGGCGGAGAGACGCAGACGCCGCCGCAATCAGCTCCTCCTTTCTTAGGATCACATCCATCCCTCGGGTCGTCAATGCACACTAGGCCCTCTGGGCATGGCAAGCCGCCAAATCCACCACAGAAAGGGGCATCCTCCGGGATCTCCACGGGGGGGTCTTGTTCCAGAGGGGTCAAGCACACGCCTGGGCACTTGACGCCGCCGTTCCGGGGATCGCAGTCGTCATTGGGCTTGTCGTAACACACAAGCCCCGAGCCGTATGGACAACGGATTTTTCGAGGGCCCCCGCACTGAGGCGCCTTGTTGGGGATGCAAATGCCCGGCGCATCGCAGGCCATGCCGCAGCCGTCGATGCGAGGGTCATCGAGACAAGCCGTGCCCTTGGGACAGCGAGGCGCCGGCGCGACGCGGAAGCCGCCGCATGATTGGTAGTCGGCCGACACGGCAGCGGCGAGGGTCGCGATGATCAAAGAGGTGATGACCTTCATGGTTGCTGTATCAAGGTCGGGTCTATATCTGGCGTGAAAGATTGTTCTGTTGGTTTCTAGCCTGATCTGGGGAAGATGAAGGCTACTGGTGCCAAGAGCAATGTTCATCCGAAAGTCTGGAATGCGTTCCTCTTTATACCCGCCCCTCCTCTGGATCAGGAAACAAACCATGATCCTCCGTCGAGTATACTTTCTCTCCTGAATCAGATTAATTGCCAAAATCCTCCCTGGACGTAGAACACCCAATCGCGACCCTTCGGCAGAAGAAAAGATTCAGCCACACTCTCCGGTTGAACTGGCGCTGACCCGCCGGCGGCCGATTCCTCCGCGTCCTGCTGCCGCAACAGCCCAAGACACACTCAGCTTCTGTGGTCAATTACCAGGGCGATGTTGCGATTTCCCGCGAATCGTCGCGCCTGAGTGGCCATTGACCTGTGACGGGGGCCGCGCTGGTTGTAACGTGAGTTCAGCTCTCGCGTGTGACGGGAATGTAAGCTTGGCTAGAACCCAGTCTGGAGGGGAGCATTGTCATCCCTTGGTTGCCTCTGTCTTGTTGAATTGTGGACACGGGAGCGTTTCTGTGTGAGAGCGGTCCTGCAGGTGCGGTGTCGGCGGTCATGCGAGGATATTGAGGCTGAATAGGAAGCGGTATCGGCTGAGGCGCGTGAAGATATGTATGCAGCACACAACTCGCGGTGAGCTGTGACACGCGCGGCTCGACTTTCCAAAATTTGCAAGAGGCAAGTCAGTTTAAGGCGAGTGCAGACATGATGTGTGAGCACCAAATGAAAAAATCGACATCGTTTGACGAATGGAAGAGAGGCGGATGCCGTTCATCTGTCTTGTTCGCGGGCTACGTGTAGGGTCTGTGGCTCTTGAAGTCGGTCTCCCAATCAATGTCTTACTGTGGAGACTGAATGAGCTGCTGCCTACATGTCTCAACTAGCATATATCACTCGTGTCCTAGCCATGTTTCGAGCAGACTGAGACGTCGTTCGCAGGTGAATACGCAGCCCCCCCCCCCCTTTTTTGGTATAGGACAAAAGAGCATCCGAAATCTGGTTCGTTGCGGCTAGGACAGCAGACTCTGGCCCTGCGTATATGCTTCCATGGTATTCTTGCCCTAGAACCGCTCCCAGGCCTTGTATTTTAAGTGCCCTCAAGTTGACTCTGACGCTTGGAATGATGGGGACTCAGCTTCAGAGATGGTCTGTCGGGATCTATGAAGACCACATCACCCGCCCGCAGCCAATCGCCTGCTTTGTGATCACGGAGAGCCCGGAGAAGGGGCGGAGTAGAGCAAGAGGCTAGTTATCCGGATAGCTAACAAGGCACACTTCAAGTTAGGGCAGCAATTAAACCTCGGTAGAGGTCTCTAAGTGGTCATTAATAACCATCTGAACTAGTCGCGGGACTCTTGTGGCAGCAAACCTCTGCCACGCAGGCGAGTCCGAGATACCCTCAGCACTTGCACTAGAAAACTGGTGGCCGGAGTGTGGAGGTAATTTGATCATCGCATAATTAGGAGACCAGGAAGTCACGACGCTAGTATCAGCTGCCTCACTTCATACGGGTTCTATCCTTGACGCTTAGTGCTCAATAAGACCTCTTGGACTTTTACTGTTCCAGTATGTGGTGTCCGCAATCAGCATTCACAATTCTGGAAAAGCGGTCATATGGAGTCCGTCTTGCATTTCTATAATTGTCACATGCAGAGAGACCGAAACATTCATAACACTTATACTTTCCTGAACTGAACATGCTCTCCTCGAATGAACACCAATATTCGTGAAATCTTTTCAGGATTCTGAAGATGTGGCGCGATGACTCGGCGCCAAGGTTGTAATCTGTCAATACAGGTGAGCACAATGGACCTTCAGGGGCTCAGCTACTCCTGCTTCGCCATTTGGAAGCTTTTGGGAACCCCCGCGTTGACATGTTACACTTTTGCCTGCAGAGCCCAGAATCAAGTCCAAAATAAGCCAGCGCCTGCAGCAGAACTGTAGCCAGATGATGTGAAGGACCCCGCGATCGCCGAAACCTGTCTCTGTGGCATGATGCTGCTCTAGGCTAAGCAATATGTTCGCTTGTCTACTATACCGAAGCTTGAAATCGTGGGTCGTGGCGGGAATTTATACTGGATCTAATCTGATTTCCTCGAGGCCTTAAGGACATCGTCGAACTGGCGTGCTCTTTGTTACACAAGATCCTTATGGGGCACACGGGATGGTGACCAGGCAGGCAATTGGCTCGGGCCCAGCCGTTGGCCGCAGCCCGTGTCGGGAGTGCACAGAGCAAGCCGAGAACCAAAGCGGCGAGGACGATGCCAATTGTAGAAGTGTATGTGACAAAATGCGTTCGATAGACCAAGGTGACAGGACATGTATTCATGCCATTTTCTGGGCTACGAAAAGGTTACAGTTGACTGACTCCAGGTACCTACTAGGACATGCAAGCAGACGGACCCCCACCCAAGACACCTAGCTGGGACCTCGATTGTGGATCTGATGGAGCTGGAAGCTTGGCATCCTCCCACGCCTCAACGTGCCTTCGCTGGGGTCCTTGATTGGACGACATCGTCGGTTCCAAGGACGAAGAGCGTCCGAACGGCTTCACATTCGGATCGAGAATCATCACCAACTGGCAGTTTGGTCCCCTAGGTCTTCGCTGTCTCTGAAAATCGACATTGTGAAGCATCCTGCGTTACTCTCGATACGTCAACTCTGCAGTTGACGAACTGTACGTGGGTACTCATTTTGTCGTCGCAGCATGGCCCCAAACATAACCTTTGAGTCTACAATATCTGCCAAAGTCACAGTCCATCAGATTCGGACCCTCAAACAGCCTGGCGCATCCTCATGACACTCGGAAACCCGGAGCATAGCCCCTTCCACCGCTGGGCGCCTGACCTGATCCAGGCGTCTCCCCATCTTGTTCGACCACGTCCACTCAACCCGCCACGCTGGGAATCAGAGGTCCTGCAAACCATGCAAGAATACATGCATTAGCATATTGGGTGCTGCGGGTCACCCCCATGTTGGGCGTGGCCTCCACGCAACGTGGGTGGGTGGTCGGGCAAGTTACTTCACCCACAGTCTTATATCCTCCACCCGGCCCACGCGTCGATCCGTTATTCCCTCTACTACATACACAGAACTTCAAAACCACGGAGTGACGATTTTCTCTGCGACGTTGCTCGCTCAACTCTCACTCAAAATCATGACTCAAGCAAGGGGAAAGCCCTGAGTCGTCAACACCGTATTACTCGTTCCACGTCACCCAAGCCGGTCATGCCATAATCACCTGGTTGATACCCTTACAGGGCATTCCACATCAACAATACTACTTCGCAAATTCGAGCATCTGGTAGCTCCTCATCCAGGCTGCCATGGCTGTCTTATCACAATACGACTACATCTTTGCTCTCTGCACCATCTTTTCCTTTCTAGACGCCTGGAACATCGGTAAGCCGCGTGGTTTCTCACAAGGTTCACAGTGTCTCATGCGTCTGCGATCTGGCATCTGGCCGGACTCCCGGGCCTGCTGGCAACGTGGTGCTGATCCGGGGGCACGACATGAGTGACACCAGCGAGGGCCTCGAGTACAGACTCTAACGACACGATACAGGAGCAAACGATGTCCGCCAATCCTTGCAACGTCCGTGTCTTCACGTTCCGTTGACGATGAAAGCAGGGCCATGATGATTGCATCGGTCCATGGAGTTTAGCGGATCTGTTGCCGTCGGATCAAGGGTCACCGACCACGATCCGCACCAAGATCATTGATCCCCCATCTGTATGATGAATACCCAAGCCGTCCCTCCTTCTAGCCATGACTTGCACCCATTGTCGCCTCTTCCGTTTTCCTCACTTTTGGCACGGGTTTCCAGTGTCAACGACGCATTCCCTCATTGGAGGACTTGTAGGTGCCGCAACAGCCTCTGTCGGCATCGAGAAGATCAATTGGTCCATTCGGGGCGTTTCGCAGGTTTTTGCTGCTTGGGTCATTGCGCCAGGAATCTCGGGCACCATAGGCGCCTGCCTCTTCCTTTTCACCAAGCACATTATCCTGACAAAGCAGAATGCGCCGCGGAAAGCATTCTACACGATTCCCGTCTACACCTTTGTCACGATAGGTGCTATCACGAGTCAGTACACTTTGAAATGCAGCAGCAGAGGTGGACGACCTATGACCTAGTGACTGACCTGAGTAGTGCTTATATCCTGGAAAGGGGTGCAAACCCGTGTCGACCTCACGACAAAGCAAATCCTCAAGACCGTCTTTATCACTGCTGGCGGAGCCACCTCTCTGCAAGCCTTCTTCCTCCTGCCATTCATCTGGCGCAAGGTCATGATGGAGGACTGGCAGCTACGCTGGTGGATGATCTGGCGTGGCCCATGGCTGTTGTACATGCCACTGCCTCCGCCGCCCCCGGCTGGCGTATCCCGCCTTAACATCAAAGACTATTACCGCGGTCACCTCACTGCCGAGGAGCTAGCCTACATGCGTGCCTCGGAATCTCTCCTCAGCTCGGTTCAGATGAGCAGCAACGCCTCGGAACTCGACAAGGACGACGACTGCTCTCAGCGCCACATACTCCCTCCGCCCGCCCTTCCCCTACCGCTACCGGGCAGCCCTCCCCCGAACCACAACGAACTCAGGCGCGCTCGCACCGCCAATGACGAGCTCATCCCGCCACGGCCGCCGGGGCCCTGGAACTCGCTCCGCGTCATCGGCTGGCGCGTCAACCGCGTCCTCCTCCGCGGTCTCGAGAAGGACGTCATCGCCATGCAGCAGCGCAAGTCCATCCTGACGTGGCACATTGAGGACATGCACGCCCGCGCCGCGCACTACGACAACCGCGCCGAGTACATGTACTCGGCCCTCCAGATCCTCACGGCCTCGGCGGCGAGCTTTATCCACGGCGCCCACGACGTCAGCAACTCGATCGGCCCGTTCACGACGGCGTGGTACGTCTGGCGCACCGGCGAGGTGCCGGATAAGGTGGGCGTCCCGATCTGGATCCTGGCGTTCGGCGGCGCGGCCATTGTGCTGGGTCTCTTGACCTATGGGTACCACGTCATGCGCAACCTCGGCAACAGGCTGACCCTCATCTCGCCGAGTCGAGGGTTCTGCATGGAGCTCGCGAGTGCCGTTACGGTGCTGATTGCCACGCGGCTGAGGCTGCCCATATCCACGGTGAGTGTGGGGAGGAGGTTCTGCCGTACTCGTCTTTCCCCCGGATTGCTGACGAGGTCTTGGGCAGACGCAATCCATCGCCGGCGCAACGGTGGGCGTCGGACTCGCGAATGGAGACTGGCGATGCATCAACCCACGTCTTGTTGCGTGGATCTACTTTGGGTGGGCGGTGACCGTTCCTGTGACTGCTCTGATGAGTGGGTGTCTCATGGCGTTGATATTGAATGCCCCCCGCATGACGCCGGCGACGTGATGCCCGCACGTGGCGCGGCGTGTTGCGCCCCCCTCGAATTGAGGAGGACTGGTCGATGAGAGTGTATCAAAGTGTGAGCGTAGAGGGAAGACCAGCTATGGTTGTGTTTGATTTCTTTGCAGCGATTTTAGCGGGATGGCATTTGGGATCACGGTGTTTGGGAAGATATCCAGTAGCGACTCGAATGGGTGTCATGAGAGAGGACTCGACGAGAAGTTGCATCGGCGACTTCACGAGTAGCTTCAACGCTGCCGAAGGAGCAGTGCTTTCAGCAAACATTTTGGGTGATGATCTAGGAAATGAAATCGAGCTCATCACTGCTCTGAGTCCCACGCATCGACCGAGGCGAAGAATGCATTGGAACATGTTGACTACTAGCAACACCGTACTGTTGTGACCACCCCAAGCATCAGTCGTATATACGCCCTCTCGATCAAGGCTCCTCCGCCTCCCCAACGCACCGCCAACCCGCCTCACCTGGTGAATTTCTTCGCCTCAGCCTCGACCTCCTTCGCCTTGTCCTTCACGTACCCCTTCGCCTCCTCCGCCTTGTCCCCGATGAGCACCTGCGTATCAATCGTCTTCTGCCGGACCTTCTCCGCCTTTCTCGGGTTCGACGTAAAATAGACGACGCCTCCGCCGACAACGACGGCCACGGCGGCCATGGCGGCCATGGAGGGCCTGTATCAGGTCCAGAGCGTGAGCGCGGCGTCCACAGAGAGACGTGACACGGGATGCGGGGGTCGGGTTACGTACCAGTCCTGCAGAATGGTCGCCTTGCGCGACGGGGGGTCCTGGCCGCCGGGGCTCGCCGAGGTCGTCTTTTGCGTCGCCCGTGTTGACCACCTTGCGTGTCGCGGCCGAGGTGTGGAAGCTTGCGGCCAGGGGGGCGCGCGTGGTGACGGCTCTTGCGATTCGGAGAGACATGGTTGCTTTGTGTGGAGGGTGGTTTGGGGGGTTCTTGTGGATGATGGTTGTTTTAGGGACTTGGCGGCTCGTGTGCGATGCTGTCTGGCAATCAACTGAGGTGTTCTCTGGTTGTTGTAGGTGAAGGGAGGTGGAGGTTGAGGAAGCGCATTCCAGGAGCTTGACCTGGAGGTGCCTTGCGTCATCGGGCCATCACTGATGACGACGGGTGCTCGGCCCCGCGGAATCCACATATTCGGCTTCTTGTCTGGGGAAACACACGGCGCCGAATCCCCGCAGCGTCGGAATGGAACTCGACGAGTGGCATTCATGGCACGGTACGCGAGTGGCGATGGGATATGGACTTGCATCAAATCGCTGCTTGAAGTACATTATGAGATGGAAAGGGCCAATCACCCAATCTTGATCTTCTTGCACCAGTCCCGCCCCTGCGACACCTGCCAGTCGCACAAACGCACCTCGACGAAGATGCTCAGCAGCCCTGCTATGCAGATGCCGCCACTGTCACTGACGCTCGTGGCGCTGAGGCTGAACTCCCGCTCCTCGCTCGGCACCGTGTCCATGATTTCGGCAAACGTGTTCACGTAGACGGCGCCACCGAGGAGACCCTCCCAGAAGATGATGATGAACACGAGATACACGGTGGGGATGAAGTTGAGGACAGCGTGCGCCGTCAGGAATCCCAGGTTGCCGATCTGCAAGAACGATGGGACATACAGGTGGTGGATGCGGATGAATGGGATCGAAGACCGCGAGATGAAGACGCCGAGCTGGTAGAGAAAGCCGTACATGGGGTAGAACTCACGGAACGCCTTGAACGGCGTGCCGGCGAGAGGGAACAGCAACGTGGGTGCGACGCCCTGGTTGATGGTGTACTCGGCAATGTACACGAGGAGAAGCGGCAGCATGTAAGGAACGAAGAGCTTCTTGGCCCGGCGCAGGTTGGCCTTGAGAGACGTCGACGCTGCCGCCGTGCCCTCATGGGAAGAGTACGCGGCGGCCGTGGAGGCGGGTCCCGGAGCGAGAAGAGCGGACGACGCAGCCCCCTGTGGTATGTCCTCCAGGTCATCGTCGTCGAGGTCCTCGTCCGGCACTGCCGTGTAATTCTTGTCCTTGGCGTTCTGTCGGAGAGGCCCCTTGGGCAACACGACGAAGAAGCTGAAGAACATGACGGCGGGGAGGCACGCACTGAACAGCAGGGTATTCTGGACGCCAAACCCCCACCAGTCCGTCATGGCAACGTATAGTCCTGCGCCCACGAGGCCCGCGGCACCAGTGCCGCTGCCCCAGCCGGCGAGGCTCATGGGTCCGTAGTAGTGTGTCAGGCCGAGGAAGCTCAGCTCGCCACCGCCCGAGCTGAGAGAAGCGAGGATGACGCCGGCCATCTTGACAGGGACGGATTTCGAGGGCGGCGTCAGGGCGAGGAGCAGCATGCCGGCGCCGGAGAGACCGATAAAGACGAGAACGCGCAGGGAGTATGGCACGCGATGTATGAAGTAGGGAGCGATCAGTTTCGTGAGGAAGGAGGGGAGCACGTCGGCAAGGAGCACGACGCCTTTCGGTACATTGGAACCGACGAGGTCCTGGGCCGCGGAGAGGATGATCACGTAGAGAACATTATTGATGAGCCCTGCGAGGAGAATGTCAGCTGATAGTCGCACCAAAAATCGCACCAGGAGAACAGTACCGAGAAGCCAAAAGGCAATGATGACCTGCGTGTCAGCTTGGCGGAGGAGGGTAGAGAGGCGAGCACGATACAGCGCCCACGACGAGGAGGCTGAGCCAGGCATTGGAAGGAAGCCCGAGGACGAAGGCGACCGTCTGGGCATGGCTACTGGGGCGTTGGGCGAAACGGGAAGGACGACTAACGATGCATCGGGTGTTCAACGTTCGACCACGAGCAACGTCACAACTTCGGAGGTTGCGCGCACCGGGGTTGTTTCGTCTGTTGGGACATGATTGTCATTGACGGGAAGCAGCTGATGATGCGAGGCACGAGATGCTGAGCACGGGCCATCTCTTATCTTTACTGTCACTGGCCTTATGTAAGCTGTCATCCTCGCGCAGACGTCGACGATCCAATTCTGAGCCACTCCGATGTGCCATGTATCCCCTGTGTCACTGGTGAAATACACCTTGGGCAGGCAAAGTGGGAACTAAATTTATGGAAATCTCTGCATAGTCTATCTGTAAGCAACGCGACTATTCAGACAATATTGACATGTAATTTGCAATAGATACACAGTACATTGTGTACCTCCATCTCGTCTCAGACGTTCCAAATGGTGGTATTCATGGTCAACTATTACAGACAAGTATATAACTATGGACTTGGTAATGACAGGACTATCCGTATGAATTCGGCGTTCATATTCGCAGCAAATAAGTCCTCCGGCAATGTCCTGAAACCGGCTTCATACTCTCCGCACAACTACCACCCACCGTCTCGACTAACACTTCCTCTGGCAATCTCCCCTTTGATGATACCAAAAAAAATAAAAGACGTCTCATCACGCCAATACTGGGCCTTCAAACCCAATGGATTGTTCGTCTGCCCTCCTCACACGTTGTTCTGCGCAAAACTGCTCCTCATTTGGCTCAAAACGCGAATGAACGTAGGCAGGCCCATTTCAACATACACAGCGTCCGAACCGACCTGGATACGAGTGCTCGCACGCTGACCATAAACTCGCACATGAGACCTGTATTTCTGAGGTGAAGAAGCATCGACGAACCCGGCGACAAAAGCGCCCGCCAGAGACCAAGGATGGTTCGCCGGAAGATTTACACCTGCCGCGAAAATAGTCGACTGATTGTTCCATCCAAATGCGATCTGCGGGTCGCCTTGCTGGTACGAGCCCAGGATGTTGACTCCCGCCGCAGCAAACCCGAAAATAGACTGGACATTGGGCGCTCCGTGGGGCACGACGTGCTGCCCTGCAGTGAAGGCCGCGTTATAGACCGAGAAGCGTTTTCCGATGATGTTGTAAGCCAGCACGCCGGCATTGCTAGCCTCTAGATCAACTGCGTTGTATGCGTTGTTTTCATTGTTGAGTGTGGTGTCCCAAGTCACAAAATCATTGTCTGCATTCAGAATGTTGCGCTCCGTCTGCGAGAGTCGCGGCCAACCCTGGTTGACCGGAGGTAGGAGAGCCTCAGTGCTGCCTCCCTTGTTCTTGGAGAGGTCCGCCAGCGCATTCTGGACGATGGGCGTGACAGCTTTGAAGACCACTGGAGCAGCCTTGATGACGACAGGCCCGACGGTCTTAACCACGGATTTGATAATGTCGAACAGGCCTTCCTGTTCGAGCTTCTTCACGTCCGTGTCCATCAGTGTCAGAAGCGCCGCCTCACCCAGCATGGCCCGCTCAGTGATGCCGCCCTTGAACTTCCATCCTTGAGGGTCCTGGAAAGTCGACTCCGTGCCTCTGGGCTTGACGAGATCATGGAAGTCCTTGATCGATTGGTCGAGCGGCCGCACATGAACTCGTAGACCCTTTCGGATGACCTGTCCCGGGCCATCCGCGACCTCCAAGAAACCCTCCGTATCGCTCTCCGTGAGCTTGCTGCCAAGCTTGGTGATGAAGGCTTCGTGGTTAGCGTTGGGGAGCTTGGGCCCGAAGCCGGCGACCTTGGTATCGTTGCTGCGGCCAGGCCGGAGCTTTGGGATCTCCGTCTCGGTACCCGGGGGCTTCGGGATGTTGCTGAGTGCGAGACGCAGTGCGGGTTCTGCGACAGCGCCAACAATCTTGGGGCCAATTGTCGTGACCAAGGGAGCAAGCTTCTTGACATAAGCACTCATGCTGTCAAAGAAGCCTTCCTGCTGGCACTTGTCATTGCCCATGTGCTTGAGGCATGCGATGGCGGCCTCGCCGAGGAACAGCTCGCTCAGCGATGCCCTCGTGGGGCGTATTGAGACAGCTTGCCAATCTCGGCTTCCGTGCCCCCGCGCTCTGCAGCGAGCTTGCCCGCGGGACCGAGGGCCGCCCGGCAAGCGCGGCAACGGGGACACCGACAGGGCCGAGTGCAATGGGCAAGGCCACGTCAAGGGCGCTCGTGACAACAGGTGCCACAAAGTTCACGGCCTTGTTCAAGAAGTCGAGGAAGCCTTCTTCGACGCCAGTGATGTTGCCACCCAAAGTTCCCGGCCCCCCGCTGCCGGGCAGTAGAGCCTCTCCTTCGCCAGGCCTGGGGCCTGGTGTTGGCTTGGGTGTCGGCGTGATCTTGGCCTCAGCTGGCACGCTGAAGATCTTGAGCCATTCCCTCTGAGGCCCCTCGACTGGCTCCGAACGAACCCGAGCATCAGGAGCGCCGTTGTAGACATCGAGGGCGCTGAGGTATTGCTCAAAAACATTACCTTCAGGGCCGATGACGGACGCCGAGTTCTTTGAACCTCCATAAACGTGCACCCCGATGGCTGTAACGTTTTTGGGATCCGTGGGCTTCTCCAACAGAACGGGCGAGCCTGAGTTGCCTGAAAATGTTAATACCAAACCCACTCGGATTGAGACGGCATCTGACTTACCTCCGTAGGTATCGATGGTGTATTGAAGAAGACCTTCAGGGTTGCTGCTGCTGAGTCTAGTGTCCCACGACTCGGCATCCTTGAGATACATCTCCCACATGACAGCTCCCTTCTCGTCGCTGTGCTGGATATCGGGGTTGAGTAGGTCACCAGGGTACCCAATGACACCTAGTTTTGCCTGGCTAGCGATCGGGGTCGGACTGTACTTGATCGGGTCCACACCTTCAAAACCAGATGATAGCTGGATGAAAGAAAGATCCGCGGCCTCGAAAGACCCATTATTGTGCCAGCTTTCGGTCGTCATGACAGCCTTTCCAGTGCGGAACTCCACCTTGTAGTTCCTGTAAATATCACGGAACTTATCTTTGACATTAGGTTCAGGAGGTATGATGCTCTCCTTGCCACTGTAGCCAATATAGGCTTTGACGTGGAGCAGGCGGCCCAGCCCGTGAGAATGGTCATAGGCACAATGTCCCGCCGTCACCAGCAGGTCCTTGCGAATGAGCCATCCAGTTGCCATGGCCCAAGGGTCGTCTTCTGCTTGGTTCTCGAACCGCAGGAACAGTTTGACAATGGCTAATTCGCCATGGAACCGTCAATTTCCAAGAAGGTATTGGGAAGGGGGAAATGGATGGGCTCCTCACCTCGATAGACACCACCTGGCATAAAATGACGTTGGACGACTCGCTCCCTGTTATCGGCACCAATGACACTCTCCTGAAAGCTTCCATGGATCAAAGCCTCGGCGTGCTCGGGGCGTGTGGGTGACTTATGTTCTTCGTTATCGAGCCCCCAAAGGTAGACTCTGGTCCTGGGCTGGGTTTCAACGTCAGGGTGAGATGTGCCATTGGCACTATTGATTCCGTTGATTGTCATAATTTGGAAGTTGATATAGAAATGTAGATCTGAGTTTGGTTGAAGTAGAATGAGATGATTTGAAGAGACACTCCTGTTGAGAACGGATTGGCACTCTCTTATAGGCACTGGCTGAGATGGATATTCCCCCTTTCAACCAGAAGACCAATTTTTCTCTGAGTGGTCTGACTCCAAAGCTGAGTTCGTCTAGCAAGGTGTGGTGATCGGTGCCTCATGGGTACATTGTTTCCCATCTCCATATCCAAGTAGTGGGGGTTAGGTTGGTGGTATCCGCACAACCCAACTGTCACTCCCTGCTCCTACGGATTGGGAAGCTCAGCCAGCCAGCTTCTCTCAAAGCGCATGGCTGAGAAGATAGCATTGGCCAAAAACTGGAAAATCCCCGTGAAGTCAGCGTCGCTCTTGAGTAGATGTCTCGCAGCACGCGGGGTTATGACGCGGTGAGATCCAGCTCAGCACTTGATGTGGGCATGGTACAATTGCGGCCATGAGCTTTTTATTGGCCGCCTGGTACTCAATTAGCCACTGAAACAAACAAACAACACAATCATTCGAAGTCAACAGTCACTCTGGTCTTAGTTTCACCGACAATCTTAACACGACTTGGCTATAGGTGTGTCAATGAGAAGCGCTATCGTTTTCCTTGCTGTATTGGTGTAAGATCTAGACCGAGCCCAAAGGAATGAAACCTATGGCGTCGGCGGAAGCACCGAATATGCTCGCCACACACATGGGCGTCCAAGCTCGAACAGGCAATGCGAGCGGCATGAAGCCTAGCTGAGAGCCCTTCTTTGAGTAGTTGTGAGCCAGCTGACGTCCAAAAGCAAGATCTGAGCTATTAGACTTTGAGTGTAGAAGCCATGCCGTCGACTATTGAGGGTTCCCCAGACATGAAATGTCTTACGGCACGGCGCGCACCGAATGTGCTGCTCAGCTATCAGCTTTACATTGAGTGCTGACATGCATGATGACTAGTACATCGCGCCTGCCGATCGTTGCTCTCTGCCCTACGCATGGTGTAAGCGTGTGGGACCTCATTAAGCTTAAGCTGTCTGCAATGGGACGTGGCGATTACTGTGCAATGTAACCTTACGGCATGTGGGCGCAGTCATGAGACCAGGGTTCCCTATGGACTGAGACTGGGCCACGGGGAGTTGATGCAGGCTGGATAAATATTGTTCGTCGGTTGAAGTCTAAATCTGCTACCCCTCCTTCCATTGCGGAAATACCCGCGAATTCCAAAGAAAAGCACGCCGAACCATGGCCTTTGGAGATGATTCATGAGTAGACCTCTATGGCATCCTCCAACGCAAGTGTAATTGTCTCGACCACCTCATCGGCCTTGTCCCGGAGACTAGGCTCGACCCAACGCACCAGTGCATCACTAAGTGTCAGGTGATCGTTCAGCAGTAGTTCCAAACCCAACCTCGCGAAAGCCCCGGATTGCAGACGGTCAAAGGCAGGCTTCTTTCTGATGACAAGCTCCGTCGCCCGAGGGTTCGTGATCACCAAAGTCTGCTCGACTAACTCGATGATGGCCTTGGAATCTTCCTTGGAAAATTGTGTTTCAATGCGTTTCGCATTGACAAAAGCTTTGCGGTTGGCCGCGTGAACGTTGAGGAAGTTGGTGCCAACGATGACAAGGTTCGGGACATCGAGTAACCCGCCTTCAAAAGGGTCGAGGGCCCCAATCAGTTTCTTGACCGCTGTATCGATTCCATTGATGTCGCTGGCGACAGACTCGCGCGTGACCTGAATAGAACGCGAAAAGTCTTCGGAGAACTCAGTCGGGAGCGTGCTGGCGAAAGTAAGGGGCAGGCACGCTAGGAAACCCAATATGCTGTGAAGGTGCATGGTGAAGGCTGCGCGTGTAGCCCAAACTGAGCTGTAAGGGGCGATTGAAGTCAAGGCCAGATGCAGCAGGTTTGAGAAGCATCTTATGTACCCAGGCTATTCGACGCGCCATGCAATATCATGCATGCAAGGGAGGTGATCAATTCCTCAACGCTGCACCTCGTTGTCTCTGATCTGTGCGATTTGAACAAGGGTCCTCAAAGAAGACATTCGATGCAAGCTATGGCATTCCCACTCGATCGAGTGAAACATGCAGAGCGGGTGTCGATGCGTACGCAACCCGACCCCATCATTGGTAGACCACCAGTGTCTGGGTAGACGCAAAGATGACTGGCCACGGCCGTCAAGTTTAGCAACTGGATTCTTTTGGGTTTACAACGTGAAAGCGACGAGGTTAAACGATCGGGTTCATCTTAATTTACCCAGGTACTCTGTCGTCAATGCTACTAAATGCTGCATATCGCCCCTCGGCGTGGCAATCTGGCGGTACAGCGCGCAACTCACACCATAGGAATGGCAGAGCTGCAGTCTCTAACGATGACCTTTGGAATTGCGAAATGCTTAATCAAAACTTTGGACTCACATTTCCTTTGAGTCTTCGGCAGAGCTGGAACTATGCGGCAATCCACCCTGATCAATCTTGCAGCTTGAATGCTGCCATGTGCCTCAGTTGGGAATAGCAAGGAGCGGCCAGGCACATTGGGTCAGTAGTTCATTGAAGGAGATGATTCTACGCGGAGGCACACCACAGTGGTCATATGTTTGACAAATTAGACATTAGTATTCGTTGCATCCTGGCTACCCCTGAGCTGGGGACTTTGCCCTCGGCACATGGGCGGCATCAGGCTCTCGGATAACACTCGAACTAGCGACGTCTGCTTCCTCCGCCATAGCTGCTGCTGATCTTCTGCTTCTCCGACATCTCTGGCTGCTCCCAGCACGATAAGGCACGGCTGCAACCCCCGCAGGTGGCGCGCTGCAGGCTTGCAGGAAGAGGGGGCGGTGGCTGTTCGCTCCACGTTCCATTGTTCGTCGCGCGCGACAGCTGGCACTTGGGGAGCCCCGCACGGGCCAACAAACAGCATGCCAGGAGGATGCTCAATCTTGCCCAGCTCGGCCTCCTCCTTCCTCACGCGACGGCACCGCACGATCGCCCAGGTTGCCAGCGCCGCGATGATCAGACCCGTGCCGCCTAGACTGGCGCCGATGGCAATCTTCTGCCAGTCCTGCAAGCCAGATTGGTATTCCCAGTCGTTGCCACTGCCAGGCCCCACAACGCTGCACGGCTGGTACGACCAGCAGGAACGCTCTCCGACCTCGTCGGAGCTGGGGACGACAGCGCCATAGAAATCGAACGAAACAATGTTGGGCTGGCTGTCGCCTCCCGAAGATAAAGGCGCCATGGCCAGTTCCTCGTTGGCCAGGTCGAACACGGTATACGTGTTCTTGAGCAAGGAACCCCCAATGACCCAGTCGCTGTCATTAGCGTCATTGGCGGATCCCGACGACGTGTTCTGGCTCTGGATGCCGAGTAGACACAACGGGTTTGCCTCCTCACCATCCTCCAGGTACCAGCTGTTTGAGTCGATAGGCCAAACGTCGGCAGGAATGATCAGATCCTTAAGTTCAACGGTCAGCGCGTAGCCGCCCACGCCGCCGAGCTCGAGGGCCACCTGGCCGGTCATGTTGTCTCGCCACGCGCAGGGGACGGTGGCCTGGCCGCTGTAGTAGTCGACCTCGGCGCGTGCCAGCTCCCAGATACGCTCGGCGATGTCCCACGGTAGGTTCGACAGGAGGGTCGGAGGTGAGACGGCAATGTACCTGCTCGTGCCGAGGTTGGCGAGCGGCTGCAGGATGCGGTTCTCGGTGTCAAGGCGCGAGCCGTTGATCGAGGCAACCAGGGCGTAGAAGCCGACGTACTGCATGGCGTACTTGTAGACCTGGAAGCGCTGGAGCCGGCCGGTGTAGCGGCTCGCGTCGACGGCGCCGAGGAGCAAGGAGCCGGAGGCAGTGTCTTCGTCTTCGGTCCAGAGGCTGAAGGCCGTCGAGTTGATGATGCCCATCTCGGTCATGCGGTCGAGGAACGAGGGCGTGCCATAGGACGCGTTGTAGCCAAGGGCGAGGCGGCCGAGGCTGAGGTCGGTCTGGCGGCCAAGTCCCATGGTCAGGTTCGTAATGTCCGTGTCGCCGACGGAAATGGTCTCGCGAATGTCGTCACCGCGAACATAGTTCCCCGAGGCATAGTATTCGTCAAAGCTGTCGACGGCATCGCGGATAAACGTCTTAGACGAGAAGGTGTCAAAGCTGCCGTAGTCGCAGCCGCTCAGGAAGATGTTGCCATCGCATTCTTCCTTGTCAGGCACCCAAGTGTTGTAGGAGAAGAGGTCGAGAGCCAGGGAGATTTCCTGAGGTGGGTTGCCAACGGTAACATTGACGACGTAATCGAGGACATCAGCAACAAAATTGGTCTTGGTCTGTACTTGACGCCTTGGCGTGCTAGTGAAAGGAAGCGCGATGCCGCGAGACGGGAAATCGGACCTGGGCAAACAGCGCCGGCTGACAGGAGCAAAGAGCAAAAAGCGAAAGGGACGCCATCGCAAAGGAAGGCAAAAAAAAGAGTGTGTTGGGCCAAAAGCGTGGCTAGAGGGAGTTTTGCATGCTGCTACTCTGTTTCCACTGGAAATGAAGATGATGATCCCCCTCAGTGTAGGGCTGATCATGGTGGAGCGCGAACTGCTGTGAAAGGCGAACAAAGGGTTTGAAGATGGAGGGAGGAGGGCGAGAGGGGGAGACCCCAGAATGCCGACCCATTCCTCCACAGGGGGGTCGCCCTGATGCTTGTGATTGACTTCAGGGATGTTGGGCAGAGGAAAGAAATGAGGGCGGGGGCTCGTCCACAGGCAACAGTCCAATCTGGGCCTGGCCTGTTTGCTGTGCCGCCTGCGCCCACGCTGGCGCCGACTGAGGCGCTCGGTGGGCAGCCGAGCTACTCGGTGTGCAGCCTGGGTGTTCCTTCCATCTCTATCCAGCATTTAGCAAGTTACGGTGAGAGAAGATTCACCGAGAGAACTTCCCTCGAGCATCTGCTGCCTGGTATTGACTATCTTTGTACCTACGATCAAAGCCTTCCATCGAAACAGGTTCATTATTAAAAAGACACACCGAGCGCCCTGCTTGCACGAAAACCAAACGAAATTCCCGAAGCCTACCCCGCTCTATACCTTCTGAGCTTCGGGGACCGCCTCCGTAGGCTCTCCCTTTTGCGTAGCGTCCTCGGCTGGCTGCGCATTCTTGACATCCTCTTGGGAGGTCTCAACTTTCGTCGGCTCAGGCTGGTCTACCTTGGTCTCTTCAGTCGACTTGGCATCAGAAGGCGCCGCTTCGATCGAAACGTCCTTGCCAGAATCGTTGTCCGTAATGGCTGGCTTGGTGGCTGGTATATTGGGCTCTTTTTTCTCGACAGTTTCATCCTGCGTTTTAGCTGGTGCAGAATCCTCCTCGACCCGAACATCTTGAGCCTGCTCGGCGGGGTAGAGACTCCTTTCTCGTTTGATCTCCTTTTACGGGGCTCTTCCTCGTTCTTCTCTGTCGGTTTCTCTGCAGGCTTCTCCACAGACGTTTCCGAGGACTTCTCGGCAGGCTCCTCTGCAGATTGCTTCGCGGCCTTATCCGTCGTCTCAGCCTTCTTTTCGTCCTGTGTCTCAGCTCCGTCCTTGTCAGAGGCAGGCTGCTTCTTCGAAAAGATGTTGTAGCTGGGCATCGATACCTGCCCAAGCGATGACACGGCAGACGGCACAGAAGGCATTGATGGAATCTGCACGGCCGGCAGGTTTGGCATGTTCGGCAGCTTGCTGGACCACCAGCTCTTCGAGTCGGTCCCCGTCTGCTGAGCGATGGCGAAGAGGTACTGCATATACGTCTGCTTTTGTTTCTCAGCATCGTCGCCGCCGGTCTCGGCGTCGCTGGACAACGGCACGAGCGACGAAGCAGCCGCAATGTCCAGGGGCGATTCGTCAGGCACGTCGCCGTCAATGGGTGCGTCGGGACCGCCCTTATTTTGGGCCTCCTCGGCACCCTTCTCACCAGCCTCGAGCGTCTCCTTGACGGTGTTGTCCTCGGCAGCCTCCTCGGGGGCGGGCTCGCGGAACTTGGGGTCGTCATAGACGTCCTCTTCGCTGAGGAACCACTTCTTGACGAGCTGCGCTGCCTCGTCGGTCATGCGCTCGTAGCCCTTGTTCTTCTCCGGTCGGAACATGGACATGTGCGCCTGCACCTCGTCTTCCGAGGTGCGCATGATGCACCGCGTGAACATGTCGCTGGCGGGGTGATCGCCTTCGGGAATGGCGCAGAAGGTACGCTCGGGCACAAAGTAGCCTCCGCTCCATGTGCCGTTCTCGCCGAGCGACGTGTAAAAGTCCTTGATGCCGACGCCCTTGAGGGCGGCCATACGGTCAAGCCGACGACTGAGCTCCTTCTGCTTCAGCAGCGTGCCGACAAAGGTGAAGTGGTCAGACAGCCAGGCGAACGAGGGGCGGACATTGCCGCGGTTGATGTACGCAAGGCCTTGCCCCACCGACTCCATGCTCGATCGGTAGCCCTCGACGACCGTGTCCTTGTTGATGTTCTTCATGCTCTTCATGCCGCTAATGATGGCCTCGCGGTGGATGTACGCCGTCACGCCGCCGGCGGCAATGGCGCCCACGGTGCCCGTGCGCACAGCCACCAGCTGCCACGTCTTCCAGGCGGGGCTCGACGAAGGGTTCGAAGCAACAGCAGCGCGCCTTGCGGTTCTTTGCATGCCGAGCCGGTGGAGGCCCGCGGGGGGGGGGCCCCGGGGGGGCCATGACATTGAAGACCCTGGCTGACCTTTTTGGAATTTGGAGAAAGCCCCCGAAAACAAAAATGGGACCCGCGCGAGGCCTTTGTATGCCGTGTCAAAGGTGAGAATGCCCTGGATGAGAGGAAAGATTGGTGTATTGTCGTCGGGGTTCTTGTCAGCACGTTCGCTGACGGCGCGGAAAAGCGTGTCGGCAGCAACGAAGCCACTGGACGATGTCAAAACTAGCTTTCGAGTGAAGTGAAGACCGAGTCAACTTACCCCCATGGAGTGTGCTACTAGAACGACTCCAACCTTCCTGTCGTTGGGCGGCCATGGTTCATCGAGGTGCTCTTTACGAACATCGATCACTCTCTCCTTCAGCCTGCACTATGTGATCAGCCTCGTTTCACAGTGTTGTTGCATTGTGACCTCGGGAGGGGCCTTACCATTCCAGAAAGGATTCGGTGGCTTGCTCAAGCTCGCCTTTCGTCTCATACTTGGGGTAGACGACTGACTCGACTTTGTGGTCGGGGACCTGCTTGGCTACTTGTTGTTTGAGGTCCTATAATGGGGTCAGCACATTCCAGGCGCATTCGTGAATAGGGAAACTCACGTAAGGGAATTCTTGAAATGTATCATCGTCACCCTAGAATATCAATGTTAGTAGCAGATGGTGCAGAGTGCTTCAGTGACACTCGCCTTGAATCCATGAATGAAACAAAGAAGCAAAACTCGTGACATTGTGGCTGCCAAAGCGTCGACGCGCTCTGTTGGTATCGAAGGCAAGTTCTGGGTATAAGTTGTTCGCTAGGGTCCGAGTCAGAAAAGACAATAACAATTAGGTGGATAAATGCCAATGCCGAGCTGTTTTTAGGGTAGTATTGAAGAAACTGAAATGCCGAGATGCACTTGAGGACAACAAGGATAATATACGGCGAGGGATTTGGATGCCCCAAACGAGAGCCTTGGTCGTCAAGCCTGACAGAGAAGTTGGATGTGCCAAGGTTCAGCCACACTCGTGGTGCACAAGCGTGTGGCAAGTGGCTGCCCCAGGCCAATTAGGGCCTGTTGGGACGTCACTGGTCACGTCACTCGCCCGCTGGCCCCGGCGGCCCTGTGACGCTGTCATGATTGATGGCCACCAGCGGCCAACTTCCCTGCTACTGGTCGCCGAGCACCATGCCAGAGATCGTCACTTGGGGAAGATAAATTGTGGTGGGTGTCCTCAGCTGCAATCGATCGAAGGTGGGATTTTCGATCCATCATCGCATGTGATTGCCGCCCTGGTACGCGGGCCGCTGGCTGGGCTGGCGTGTGCGACCCAGCAACCAGGAAGCGAAGCAATGAAGCGGGAGATGCACAAATCCTCCCACGCTGGCTCACTGATGCTGCTGATTTGCTCAGAACAGGGGGCCGACTCGTTGCCTATCGTTAAATTCTGCCCGATGACTAGGTGCCTGTCTGACTGGGCAGAAGATTCGTGGCTCCACTACAGGCTGTTCTCGTTTTGTCCTCGTTGAACGTTGCCATTTGGTCACGATCATGGAGGTGATCAAGTATTTGGACTGTGGTGGTGATCATGCCTGAGGGTTGACTTAAGTCATACACTGGTGAACGCGATGCGAGTGAAGCAACTACCGGAGCACTGAAATCCAAGCTGCGCACTTTGAATGACCTTGCTTACTGGTTATATATGCACTCATGTTCGTTGTTTCGATGAAGGCTATTTCTGGGAATGACTGGTCATGTTCCATCACCAAGGAGACTTGTCAACGAGAACAGCATGAGGCCACGTGGGTCAGGTTCGTGGCCGATGAAAACCGCACGAGGCTTCCTACTATTTTCGCGCTTTAATCTGGGAGGA